GCAAAGCAGAGGAGTTAGAATGAAGATGCATAAACTTGTCACATAAAGGTTACAGTGTATTCAAGCTGGATCCAATATCAAACAAGAACCATCCCTTTTACAATCATTTCTCAAACAGTGTTTTAGTGCAGGTGGGTAAAGACCTGAACACTGAGCTTTCTTCAGTGCAGTGCAGATCTTGGGGGTCAGCAGGTGCCCAAGGGTTGGCTGATGGTACCTCGTGAGCACTTGCAGGGTCAGGTTATGTAGGCTGCTGAAATTCAATGTATTTCAGTAGAAAGTACATATCCAACGTACTCAGCTACGGGAGGAGAGTAGGGATCTGCCTTACCTTGCACCCAGACAGCTTCGTGAAACTCCTTACAAGCTCACTTTACATTTATCAACAGCTTCCTCATCTTTGAGCAGTTAGGCTGGTCAGTTTTAAAGGTTCAGTCCTCTGCAGATGAAGCTTTCTGGAATTAACAAAGTGTGCAAAATTAGGGAATATTTGTGTCACTTGGGTGTTCAGAGCAGTGTAAAACTAAAACACAAAAATATCTTTTTCTACCTTTGCAAAGTAAACACTGAAAACAGCTCATTCTATAGAGCAGTCTGCAGTTTGCATCTCAGTTTTGTGAGATCAGTGGACTGACACAGCATGGTGTGATGTTCACCGAGCTCCTACAAGTCATTTTGTAATGTCTTATTTCCATGTTGTTGTTTTTATACAAAAGCAAAGGCATTACTTCCAGTCTATATCCCTCTTCCTATGGGAAGAACCCCAACCACAGTTATTTCATTCTCCCACATTTATTTGGAAGAATTTCTGTCTCAATTTATTCACAGAATCACAGACTGGTTGAGGTTGGAAGGGACCCCTGGAGGTCACCTGGTTCAGCCCCTCTGCTCAAGCAGAGCCACCTGGAGCCAAAACCACATCCAGGCATTTTTTGAGTATCTCCAGAGACCCCACAACCTCTTTGCACAACCTGTGCCAGTGCTTGGTCACCCTCACAGGAAAAAAGATGTTCTTTTAGCTGGTGCCCATTGCCTCTAGTCCTGTCACTGGGAAACCCTGGAAAGAGCCTGCCTCAGCTCTCTTTTGCACCCTCCCTTCAGGTACTTATTACATTGATAAGTTTTCCCCTGAGCCTCCTCTCCTCCAGTCCCAGCACTCCCAGACTACTCACGGGGGAGATGTATCAGTCCCTTAATCATCTCTGTGGCCCTTCACTGGACTCTCTCCAGCATGTCCATGTCTCTCCTGCAACTAAGGAGTCCAAAACTGAGCATTCCAGCTGTGCTGTCACCAGTTCTGAGTAGAGCAGAAGAATGATTTCCCTATTCTTCTGATTAGTCCAGTAATATCTTTAATACCACTAGAAATGTTTTTCATAATGTTATGTTGCATAATTTTAATCAGAATTCAGGACCAGCTCTCTTTACAATTACAACTAGCTGTCTAAGCATCAACACAACTCACTATTACCTTGGACAGCACCAGTTTGGATGGACAAGAATCTACTCACTGCTGAGTTCTCAGGGCTCATCTACTGGCCTTTGAAACCTGTCTCTGCTACAGATTTCTTATATCACTTTAAGCAAGCCATTTTCAATGTCCTATT